GGGTATAGGTTTTAGGGGTTTAGGGTTTAGGGGCTTCGGGGTTTAAGGGGGTTTGGGATTTAGGGTCCGGCACCAGAAGATTTCGATGAGAGTTCGATGAGGCTTACCCAGACCCCCAAAAGGATCTAACAAATAGACACCCCTAAGGGGGTTCCTATAAAGTAGCCTTTAGTAGTTAGGGTCCCTAATTTAATTAGGGGATCTATTTTTAGATCCTTTTGGGGGTCTGGGTACTAGGCGCTCGGGATTTAGGGTTTTGAGAGTTCCATGAGGGAGTTTCAGAAAATAAGGGGTACCTTATTTTGGGGGTCCTTATAATATCCTACTATTTAGGGTACTATATTAGGGTCCCCTATTTCCATGAGGCTTGCTAGCTGCTCGGGATTTAGGGTTTGGGGCCTTAGGGGTTAAGGCAGTTAAGGTTTAGGGTTTGCGGTTCACGGCTTTGGGGCCCTGACGGGTTAATTAAGCCCTAATAAAGCCACCTTAAGCCCTCCACCTTCATAGATCCCTTATACATACATTCCTTCAACAGAGCCCCTGTAGACCCCGAAATTGAAAGCTGCGAGCCAGGTTGCACGCAACGCCGTCGGCACGTTCAGTGCCGCCCTGAGTGTCAGATCCCGCTTGCGCCCAGCTGAGCCACCAAGGATTTCTAGTAGCAGAGTGTCAGGGCTCAGCCACGAAGGGTTTAGGGTTTAGAGTCTAGGGTTTAGGGTTTAGAGTCTAGGGTTTAGGGTTTAGGGTCTAGGGTTTAGGGTTTACGGTGTGGGGTTACAGGCACAGGTTCGGGTTTAGGAAGTTTAGGGTTCACGGTGTGCAGCGCCATGTGCGATGGATGTGGATGCAACCGCCCTGCGAAGATCACGGCCGCTGTTGGGGCATGTCTCGTGCCAATGGGCCTCGCCCTGCACATCGTGAGCTGCCAGGCCTGGAGCAATTATCGGTCTTCGGTGTTCGAAAAATTGACCAATATGCTCGTGGAAGGAAAGAAAGAGTTTACTTTCACGGGCAGAGGTGACATCTACCCTGAGGGTGCCACATTCGCATTCTACTCAGATGATCTGGCAGATTGCAAGGCCCATGCCCAGTCCATTCACATCCATGACTTGTTGGGAGCTACTTTTGTTAATTTGTCTGCCGCCGAATGCGCCCTGCCGGCGAGCTCGAGACCCAGAATTGATTGGAAAGGTCAGCGGCTCATCTTGATTGGCATAACCCTCCCGGGGTCGCATGTTGATGGAGACTGGCAGGTGAGCTCCCCTAACCCAGTCCGGGTGACGGGAGAGCGCGGGTCCAAGCAGGCCTACAACATCGTCGAGGAGCAGAAGATCGCGGTCCTGGGGTTTTGCGGTCATGTCCTTGGCATCGGAGGTACCATCACACTCTTTGTGAGCTTGTGCCTCATGTGCTGTTGCCAGCCACCAAAGCCAGTAGAGGCGCGGGAGTTGTTGCTGGCGTTACATCAAGTGCAACCTCCACAGACGGTGCAGGCTCCAGTTGCCGTCGTGACACCCTTCCTGGCTGAACCAGTAAGCCCTTGAAGCCCGGTTATGTACAGAGGCTGACGATTGTTGCCTTTGTTTATTGAAAGGTGGGGGTTTCCGAAAATAGGGGACCCCAATATAGTACCCCAAATAGTAGGATCCTTATTATAAGGACCCCCAAATAAGGTACCCCTCGTTTTCGGAAACTCCCAGGTGCTGCCCAGAGAACTGGGCACGGCACCGTCTGGAGAAGCTACAAGTTTCCACTATCGTGTTCTAGGCATATGAGCAGTTCTCTAAATTAGGGTCCCTTTATAGGTCCCCAATATCGTACGGCACCCTTATAGAAAGGACCCCAAAAGGGACCCTAATTTTGAAAACTACTCATATCAAAGGTCTAAGCATGGAAGCACTCTATGCAGCCACACAGCTCGTTGCAGCAAACCCGGCGCACGTGTTGCTGGGCAGGCTGCTTGCAGAAATCCCTGTGTGAACTGTATGGAATCAACAAAACTGCGTCTCTCCGACTGCATGTGCTACGGCACTGTGTAGACGTATGGATTGCACTCCCGGAGCTGGAGGGGGGTGGGGGGCAGGGCAAGTTGGCATTCATACTCTTAGCTGCAGCACATGACCAACTTGTCGAATAGTGGTTGCTATTTGCTCGAATCCGAAATAGTCCCAGAACCGTGTGTGAATGAAAAACTCCAGTCTGAATTTGTCCATAGTTGCTGTTGCTTTCAACCTACCGTCCGAAACCAGAACCGACACCAGGAACCCTCAACCCGAATTCCTAAACCCAAAACACGAAGTCCTATACCCTCGACCGTAGCTTGCGCCCTGGGAAGATTTGTTCGGCAGGCCGTCGACTGGGATCGTTCTACTTCCAAGCCCTAAACCCCTAATCCCCCAAACCCCTAAACCCCTTAAACCCCTGTATCCCTTAATTAACAGGTGTTGGAGCCCCTGAAAGGACTTATCTTAAACAGGCTTGGGGTTCTGGGTTCTTGGGGTTTCCAGGGTCTAGAGCTTTACAGTTTAGGGTTCAGGGTTTAGGCTCTCAAACCTACCTGGATCCTAGATAGCCTACTTTTCAGAGTTCTCTGAAGCGATTTCCTTAGATCAGTCCTTGACACAGGTAGGTTATTTGAGGTTACGGTAAACTCCCAACCCCGGTTTCCAGGTTTTAGAGCGTTGGGGCTGTAAATACGGAAGCCGGAATGATTACGCATATGATTCCTTAGGGCTTCAGATGAGAATCGTAGTACACTGACCCCCCCAAACGTTCTCTCATCATTCAGGCCCTTATATTAGTGCTTGTTGTGCCGTGGTTCTCGTTAGTGGGCTTCAGAAGGTTCGGGGTTCAAGCAGAATCCTTTCTTGCTCCTTCAGAAGGAGCACCCATAAAGACACCAAAGAACACTCCTACCAAACCTGTAAATAACCTGCCGTAAATAGAACCCTGATAAAAGCCGCATTAAACTCCAAACCCCTAAACCCTGGACCCCTACACCTAAATCCCTAAACCTCTAAACCCCTAAATCCCTAAACCCTAAACCCTAAACCGTAAGCCCTAAACCTTAAAATTCGGTGAATAACCCAGGCTTCACTCCGAATGAGATGGCGTGGGGCCCGAGCTGAGGATGTTAGCGCTCCTTGGGTTCGCTCTCAGTTGTACTATAGGGGCCTTCAGCGGTTTAGGGTTTAGGGTTTAGGGTGGCGGCCTTCATGATTACCTTACTATGAGGGGTTTAGGGGTTGGGTTCCTTTAAAGGGATCCATAAGGGGTTTGGGGTTTAGGGGTTTAGGGTGTATATTCTAATTATTTATATTTTGTTGGGGGGGGGGGGTTGCTTCCTTATTATCTGAACCCCAAGAAATGCATGGGCCTTAATAATTACTTATAGTCGTTTTGGGGGTTCCTGATTATAGTTATAGTATAGTGGGCCCCAAAGCCCTAGTCTAACTATCAAGGCCCCCTACAGTAGTTACCACTGTCTCTGCTGATTCTGTCAAGGGTTTGACCGATGCTCTACCCCTAAACCCCTAAACCCCTAAACCCTGAGCCCTAAACCCTAGATCCCTAAACCCTAAACTGTTGTTGTGGCTTTTGTTGTTGGGATTTCGCGAGGCCCCGCGCCTCGTACAGCCCTTCTGACAAACCCTCATAGAGCACTGGGCCCAAAACCACAAACACCCATCAAGCCTTGTAGAAGCAACCCATACAGTCCTGTAGACTCCATATAAGGAACCCTTCAATTCAAAGAACACTTAAAGAGCCCACCAACCCCAAACCCTAACGGCAAACCCCCAAACTTAAACCCTAAGCCACAACACATCAGGTGATGATGCAAGGTTCAAGGGACACTTGCAAAAACCCACCCCCAAACCCTAAGCCCTAAACCCCCTAAACCCTTTTCCAAAAAACCCAGCACATCAGGTGATGACGCAAGGGGAGATTACGGAGAAGCTTTGGTTTGTCGTGGAAAAAGGCAGCAGGGGCCTCGGCACAAGGGGCGGGCCCTTGCGGTTTAGGGTTGAGAACCCTAAACCCTAAACCCTAAAACCCCTATAAACCCTAAACCCTAAACCCCCAAACCCCTAAACCCTAAACCCCTAAACCCTAAACCCTAAAACCCTAAACCCTAAACCCTAAACAGGGTCTACGGTTTAGGGTTCAGGGTTTAATGGCTACTTCAGGGGTGCCCCAGACCTGCCAAAATCCCTTTGTTAAGGAGCATACCTTAGACGTCTTAGGGATTTTACTTTAGCTTAAGGCTTTAGGGTTTTGGGTTTAGGGTTTAGGGTTTGGGGTTTAGGGTTTAGGGTTTACTTTATCTTAAGGTATATTCCACAATTGTGGAAGATTGGAAAGTCTGGGACTATCACGCTTCGGGGTTGAGGGATAGGGGTATTATTATAGCGGCTCGATGATACTACTATACCCTAAGCCCTAAACCCCTAAACCCTAAACCCCTAAACCCTTAACCCCTAAACCCTAAACCGCAAACCGTATCGCTACTCTACACTATACCCTAAACCCTAAACCGTAGGGCTTTAAGGGAAAGCCGAGTTTGAAGGGCTTGGGGGAGGGAGACATCAGAGCGAAACACCTTGGCAGCTTTGTGAAATGGGTAGTTCTCTAACTCAGCGCCTTAGTAGGTTTAAGGGTTTAGGGTTTAGGGTTTAGGGTGTAGGGTTTAGGGTTTAAGGTTTAGGGTATAGGGTTTAGGGTTTAGGGTCACGGGACTCAGGGTCCATTTGCAAAAGGATATACTATCTTGGGGACCTGAAGAGGGATCCTAGTTTAGGGAACTAGGCAAACAGAGATTCGGATACCTATGAGCCTAGTCACAGCTACTTGTGACTTTTCAAGCGATCTATCTTTGGACCATTGCAATGTCTACACTGTTTCAAGGAATGCAGCTTACCTGAAGCGGTACCACTCAATCTTTCAATGGCGGCCGAGACTCCAGTCCAAACTATCCAGTTGTCTTTTTTTTAAAGGCCGAGTAGGTATATAACCTTTAATAACCTTTAACCGTTTGGCCTTTTCTCATCCTACTATAATTGCAAAGGTTAACCTCTTTTGGGCCCCTGAGTTATGAATGAGTCGTGCCTACCCAGGTTGCCAGGTCACTCAGAAAGATGCAGCAGGCCTGCATGCACATTGTGTTTTTGCTTGTGCAAGTCACCCGTCAGTGGGTATCTGTCTGGGCTGCAAAGGGAGCGGTCTTCGTGAAGGCATCATTTGGGCTCTGTCCTGGTTGTCGCTTTTGCCCTGCAAGAAGGAGTGTTCCACACTCTACAAAGTCTGTTGCAAGCAGAGTGACACTGTCGCCTCCATGCTCTTCCTGACATTCGCACAATTATCCGATAGCTAAAGCAAAGCTTTAGGGCTTTAGGGGCTTTAGGTTTTAGGGTTTTAGGGTTGAGGGCTACGCCGCACACGATTTGCAACAGGGTGCTACAAAATTACGGAGCAGGCAAAAGACACACCCATGTCTATAGGTGTGTGTAAGTGCTGATCGATGTCGATACATACATACATACATACATACATACATACATACATACATACATATGCATGCATGCATGCATGCATGCATGCATA